CGACACACACACACACACACACACTAGTATATATATATATATATATATATATATATATATATATATATATATATATGTGTGTGTGTGTGTGTGTGTATACATATATATATTATATATATATTACATATATAAAACCCAACACATGAGTATATAGAGTGATACATAGATAAACATACACGTACATAACACACATACACGCCCAATACCCGATACATACACAGATATACATACGCATACACATACACATACACATATATAACAGCTACCTGCATAAGCGGCTGCAAACTCTCCCGATGCACATTCACAGCCACCCCGGCCATCTTCAGATCCGCAACCAGCCCGAGGTTCGGGTCCGCTCCCCACTCATACTCAGGGTGTGCGGGATCAGTATACTCCATGTCAATACTGATTAATTGTCCACTACCATCTTCTCGGGGGCCCTTTACATGCCGCCAGCTCACGTCCTTCATCGCCTCGGCCTCCTGTCTATTTTTAGATTTATCAACTCCACCATCTGATTGGACGAGGTAGTGCAGGGACTCGTGCACGTCTTTTCCCGCCAAAAGATTACGCACGGCCATCTCTCGTACTGTGACGCGCAGAGATGTACCGAACTTCTTTCCAGTCACACGCACTTCGAAGTTGCGCAGTCGCGATAACAGTAGCGACCGTTTAGTGCGCAGGAAACTAGTGGCACGCGACGGGTCTGTAGGGATGAGTATAGATAGAGTCTGTAGGGATGAGTATAGATAGAGTCTGTAGGGTCGAGTATAGATAGGGTCTGTAGGAATGAGTATAGATAGGGTATGTAGGGTTGAGCATAGATAGGGTCTGTAGCGTTGAGTATAGATAGGGTTTGTAGGGTTGAAATTAGATAGAGGGAGGGGAAGTAGGTAGAATAGGTTGGTTGTATGTAGTAGATACATTTGATTGTATGTGTGTGTGTATGTACATCAGTTATTTGTATATATTAAACACATTTGATTGTGCGAGTGTGCGTGTCAATAGTGTCATATATATAAAGAGGAAATGTATGTAGATCAGTTGTTTGTACAAGATAAAGGCGTTACAAAGTGTGTGTTTGTGTTTGT